ATTTCTTGGCAATGGTGATAGTGGGAAAATACGATCGGAAAAATTCAGAAATTATCAATGATGATAGTGATATGATGTTTCACGACTACTGCGAATATCGGGTTTTTCACGGAGTATTACGCCACTTCGCGTAAAACGGGTCGTGAAACTTTATTATTGTATTATCAGCGTAGTCGGCCATATGCATATTTTCTTTATACACTTTTTATAACCATTTCCACGATTTGAATCTGTGATGGTAACTGTCTATCCTTGTGTGGTTTTGAAAAAAAATTTTTGGAGAAAAATTTTGTGTTTTTCGGCTGAGTTTAGCTACAGTATAGCAAAATGCAGTTTGTGAAATTTTTTTGTGAATTTTCATATCGTTTTTTTGTGAATTTTCATATCGTTTTTTTGTGAATTTTCATATCGTTTTTTTGTGAATTTTCATATCGTTTTTTTGTGAATTTTCATATCGTTTTTTTGTGAATTTTCATATCGTTTTTTTGTGAATTTTCATATCGTTTTTTTGTTAATTTTTCTGCATGTGTGATTTAGGTATCGCGGACCATCGATTCACAACTGCGTATATCACCCCCACAGACCCGGCACCATTCGAGACGTCGCTAGGACGTTTAGATTTTACTGTTCTCCGGAGTGCTTAAAGCAAGGCTATAGGTTTCTGGCGGTAATAAGGGATTTTTACGAATTTTCGGAATTTTTTTGAGATTTTTCAGTGATTTTTGATTTGGTGAGTGAGTGGCTGTTTAGTAAGTGATAAAATGTGCTAGCCTTAGTATTATAGTTGTAATGAGATTTTGATATTTCGGGTTGGTGATAAAAAAATTTGTGTATTGGAGTTTTACGCGAAGTGAACGTGAAGTGGCGTAATACTCAATGTGAAAAGGCGATATTTTCACTAGTGCCTTTTTTTTCGTGTGAAAAGAGTGAAATTTCAGCGACTTGACGAAAGGATGGTATTCTAGTTGTAGTAGTATCAGCAACAATTTTGCTTACGTGTTGTCACGGTCATTCGAAGTGATACATTTCGAGATGAATATTGGAGTTTACCCCTAGTGATACGATGAAAAACACATATTTCACATCTACTGCATATCACCGCAAATATCGCTTAGTTTTTCACCGCCGAGTTCTACGACGCCACTTAAAACGGGTAGTCGTGAAACTGCTGTGTTGGTGATGGTGACGCAATTTTGGATAATTTTCCTCTTACTATGAGGGTATGTTTACATACAATTTTTGTTGTTCATATTTTGCGTGAAGCTCTCTAGAGCTAGCAGGAATATCATACAACAGCAGCATGTGTTGGTGATGGCTACATGAAAATTGTGAGGGAAATTCTCAGTGGTTTTTGTATATAAACTTTTGAGCTCAATAGGTGAGGAACAGCGAAGATATATTACTACTCCAACACTGATAGGTTTTATCATATTTTCAGGATGAGCATTGTCTCCCCTGCCCAGCTAGTGATAAGGAGGACGATTGTATGTATTGTCCCTGGGCTACTATTGAGGAGGTGGTGATTTATGCTAACTTGTGCATGCGTGCAAATTGTCTCTCAGGACGAGGCTGCGGAGCACAGCACTACGGCTACGTTAGGACCGGACTTAGCAGCACCAGGAAGTGGTCGTGACCAATCGCCTGTTAATGTAAGGAAAAAATTTTTTTCGGAAATTTTTTTCGGAAAATTTTGTTCGCAGGAAACGCCTGCATTAGCAGGATCATGCTGGACTGCTGTAGCAAATACGCGGACGTATACGCCGACACCAGAAGATACCGATCGGGTGCTCTGTGTGAAGTAAGGGGTGAGGAGGCGCAGTTGACTTTTTGGGAAAATGTAGCGGAATTTTTGTGGAATTTATGAATATTTAATGATTTTTTCCTCCCGATTTCGATGAATTTTAATGGAGATTTAACAGTTTTTCACGTGGTGTGAAAAACGCGAAGTAAAATATGTTTTTCATGTCACAGGTGAAACTTTATTATTGTTTATTTTTTGGGATTTGTTTCTAATTTTTTTCCCGAAATTTATAATAAATTTTGTAAATTTTTGAGATTTTTTTTAGTTTTTTTGCGCCACATAGCTGATCAGAATTTTTACAGTGTAAGAGTTGGTTTCAACTTTTTCCCGAAATTTACACTAAATTTTCGTAAATTTTTGAGATTTTTTTTCTGTTTTTTTGCGCCACATAGCTGATCTGAATTTTTACAGTGTGAGAGTTGGTTTCAACTTTTTCCCAAAATTTACACTAAATTTTCGTAAATTTTTGAGATTTTTTTAGTTTTTTTGCGTCACATAGCTGATTTGATTTTTCATAGTGTGAGAGTTTCACTGTACCTTTTGGCGTAAAATTTATATATTAATTTCACGACCACTCGTTTTTGAATTTGTATTTTCAGAGTATACAGCACTGAGCCGATACCATACCACTCCTCCTCCTCCTCAACTACTCGCAGGTGTAGGACAGCCGATGATAGAGTACAAATAGTGTTGGAGTGTTATGTCATTTCGGAGGTGATTTTCTATAGGTAGATGACGATAGCAGCGAATCAGAGGATGCATGTATGGCTGATCGGGAAGGGACGGGGAGGTCTCGGAGGAGTGGTAATAGTAGGAGTGGGAATTTATCAGTTTTGTTGGCGTAAAACTCGGCGGTGAAAAACGCGATATTCGCGGTCTGTAGTAGTAATAGCGTTTTTCATATCACTAGGGTCGTGAAATTCCATTGATAATTTGATTTTTTTCTTTTTTTTGGTGGGATTTTCTCAGTTTTGTGGACGTTTTCAAAATCACCCTGGGAGTAAACCTGATATATGCGATAAAATGATGACGATGATTACACCTTGTCAACATTTTCAATTTCGTAAATTGTATGCGCTGAATTTCCTGTACTGGTGTATTCGTTGATGGCGTTGTTTTTACTCGGGTTAAAACGTTCGACACTCCTTGTCAGATAACGCCTCCACGGACTCAGGACCGGTTATTGCGGGTGGTACTCTCCAACCATTGACATCGATCTCACAAACTGGCAGTGGATCTGTGTATGTTGCATACAATCGATTAATCGGGCGCGCGCTTTTTGCATTCAGGTGTGTATTCAGGTATCTCATGACCATGCCGTGCTTTGACCCAATGACTTATTCACCACCACTTCGGGAAATGCTGTCGGTTTATGGGGCGTTGGATCACATAGCCACGGGTCAGGCGATAAAGCTGTTGAATTGGAATATCCTTGCGGGTGAGTTGAAAGAGTGTGGGGAAAATTTTGGGAAAAAATTGGGAGATTTTTGGTGGTTTTCGGAAATTTTACGCGAATTTGTGGGTGAATTTTCAGTTGTTGGATTGGAATATTCGTACGGTATGAGTTGTTGTGTGGGAAAAAAACGAAAATTCTGAGGAAATTTCGGGAATTTATTTTCGGTTTCTGAAAGCTTCCATAGGAATTCTTAGGAATGTAGTGAAAAAAGTATAAATTAGTAGTGTGGGAAAATATGTATATGGTCAACTAGATGGGTTGGTGACTATATGGAAATTCTGAGGATTTTTTTGTTGGGTTTTGAGCATTTTTCGGCGAATTCGTGTGTAAATTTCCATAGTATACTAAGGAAACTCCTGAGCTCGGGTGAGGAAAGCGAATATATATTCCTACTCCAACATTGAGTGGAAGATATGTTGTGGTTGAATCGAACCGGGTACCTTTGGATGCATAGGCTGGCATGCTAACCTGTTGGTCTAGGTGGATTGTAGAGGTATTGGAGTTTTAGATATATATTGTACGCCACAACAGTACCCGTATTGTCCCCCGTGGGCATTGAGTTGGAATTATAGGAGGCATTTGATTATAAAACAGATAGCAGCGTTAGAAGGAGATATAGTGTGTCTGCAGGTGACGGCGGTGGGGATTGAACCTGGCTCGTTATCATCATCGTTGGTAATGCTGAATTATAGTAGCAATTTCCATGTGTATACAGGAGAAAATATTATAATGTTTGAATCTGGCTGAAATACGGTTTATAGTTTTTTTTTCACTTTGAAAATTACCTCGTGGAAATTTTTCCAGAAAATTTCCAAAATTTTCGGTATTTTTTTCCAAAAAATTAAGGTGGGATTTTTCGTATTTTCGCGTCCTTCTTTTTTCAGGAAGTCCAGTCGGATCATTTGTATACATCTTTGTTACCAGCACTGGAGGGTTTGGGATTTGGTTACTTATACGCTCCGAAAACTAGGAGAATATTCACGGATAAGTAGCCTTGCCGGGTTTCGAACCGGGGACCTTTCGCATGAGAGTGTGTGTGTGCAGATATTGCGAGGAAGGGTGCGCGATTTTGTATAGAAAAAGTAGATTTTCTGTCGTGGATTCATTCACCATTGAATTTGACGCCCATGCTAAGGACAGCGCAAGATATCAGGGCGCGCGAAATACGAAGCAACGGAATAGATTGAGTAAAGGGAATGTTGCTCTAGCGTGCTTGTTGGAAGATTCGCGGTAAGTTTTGGGCCTGTTTTGTATCATGTCACGCGGGCACGAAATGAATCTTTGTGCCAGGTGTGGGGGCAGACCTCTGGGAATTGTTAATACGCATATTACTGCAGATGTTGATGCTGGGGATGTTAAATTGTGGCAGGCTATGTGCATGCTGGGTGAGTATTAAAAATGGCGTCGGGGGGATTCGAACCGGGGACCTTTGGATTTCCCTTTAGAAGTTGTACAGGGCTGGAGTAACAGCCAAAATGGAGTGCTACCGGTCATCGTGTGTGGTGATTTTAATTCAACACCGGAATCAGCGGTTTATGAACTCCTCACGACTGGTCGGCTGAGCCCCTCCTCCATACCGGTAGGCCATAGAAAAATATATTTTTTATTTCTATTTTTTTGTTTTTATTATTTTTCCAGG